GTTATCATTACTATTATTATTATTACCCTCCTGCCCACCCAGCAGTAATGGGTACCTGACTTCGAGTTGGGGCAGTAAAGACGGCGTGAAAAAGAACTGGCCACCCTACCACAATATGTCGAAGGCCCAGGAAGTTGTCTCACTAACAAGGCAGTCCCCAATGTCTGGATCGGATGCGGGAACAACTTTACTTTTTACCATTATTAATTATTATCATTACTACTATTATTATCGTTACTATTATTATAATTATTATTATAATTTATCGGCAGGGTGATAATGTCTGGTGCCCAGACACACGCCTCCTCCCACTGACAACGCTGGTTGTACAGAGATTTTACGTCTCCATTCTTTCTCTGTGTCTGCTGCAGACGTCTCCTCTACGACACTGAAGCGTCTTGGCTGCTCCACACAAAACTTGAACACTTACACTAGTTACACTACCGCTGCCGACTTAAGTCGCCGACGCAACCAGGCACACTAAACAGAATAAAACAATGAACGAACGCACTGCACTGAAGTAAATACCAAAGGAAGCCACTGTATATTAATAATTATAGCTGAATGGTTGATGAACCTCTCGGAATGTTTAAAGCCTGTTTCTTGGACTGTCAAGGTCTTTTTTAATTTTTTACAATTCTACCACAGCTTCAGCATTCTAAACTGGCGCGGTACGTGAGGGTTTTTCACTGTATGAGCCTTCAGTACTGTAAGTGGTAAACCCGTACAGCATACGCATGCCTAAATATGATGTATATTTTTTTAAATAGTGGTTGGTTGGTGGGTGCTCTGGTGTGGTTTGCTCCTTCTTTCCTACCAAACATCTGTCCTTATCTCTCCTCCATTTTCTGTTTTTTACTCTCTTGTAACACGTGAGGAAAACAAAGTACATGTAGTCTCAAAACTAGGTCATGTGATGAAAAGAACATTTTGGTTGTTCAAATAGTGTCCGCAGCACCAATATGTGAGGCAGCGTGGTGAAATCAGGCGCTCGTCAAAATAACGAAATCTGAGAAAAAGGCATTTTTCTGCAAGTTTGGACATTTTCATCGAATTTTTATTTTTGGCTCAACCCCTTTTAAGTCCATATAAAAACACATTTCAATGTGAATTTGGTTGGAAAGACAAGACACAAAATATGCCATTTTTTTTATTCTCAAAGACTCTTTAGCTATTGGAGTTACCAAACTTTGGCAGCCATTTTTCTCGCTAGTTTCACCGCTGAAACCAGGCAACTTTACCTCATTCAATCACATTATACACTGTATATGATATGTATATATATACAATGTAGGCCCTATATTTTGACTGCTATTCAAGATGAGATGGACATTTATTTCATCGGAAGTAAGGCAAATGAAACAGCTTTCACATGACACCAATAACTCCCACATGCCCAAGAATTGACGAGCGCCTGATTCCACTGCGTCATGATAGAAAATCTGAGAAAAAGGCATTTTTCTGCAAGCTTGGTCATTTTTATTGATTTTTGGGGGGGGGGGGCTCAACCCCTTTTAAGTCCATATAAAAACACATTTCAATGTGAATTTTGTTGGAAAGACATTTATTAAAGACACAAATTTTAAAATAGAAAATTCAAATTTTTTTTCCCCGACTGGATTTTTTCTTTATTTTCTTTTTTCCAATGAAGTTCAGGTTCTCGTCTATCAAAAACTGCGACAACATATATTTCTTCATCATTGACACCCACATTTCAATCAAGCAACCCGATCTTTCTCCTGGGAGACTACGTCTCTGCTCAGCCTGGGTAGGTGACTCCGAGAGCCAGGGAGAGACGCCCGCCGCCTAAATGAGCTGACTTGTGTCAATGGAGGCGTAAAGAAACCATGTGAGGTGTGCTGACAAAATGAGTTACTTCTCGCAATCCACAAATGGAGATATTGGCCCAAAATCGACACTGGGGCCAAATTTGTAAATTGTTCTATAGATGCCATATTCTTTAAGTATAACATGCTTTTTATGATTTCATACTTCTAAACTGTAAAAACTTCACCTATAAGCGTGATGTATCTATTTCAATAAGGCTTGAATCCCAGAAGCAATTCATTTTGTCAGCACGTTTCACATATTGTAAAAAGTTACCACATGTGCAAAATTGAAAGTCTGATAAAAAAAAGAGTTCTGACTTCACCCTCACCAACAATATTATAAATAACACGTAAGTAACAGCATGCCATTATCGAGGAGGAATCAGTAACGAACTAAAACAAATAAGTTTGTGAATGTATGTATCAATCAACTTTATTGAAATTCATAATATTCAGGCAAAATGCATCGACAAGTGTCCCAAACCCCATACACATTATCTCGATCAGCTTCATCAAGCCGGACCCATCAGTCTATCTCTCTCTCCACACACTGAATGACAGCACGGTCTACAAAGTCTACAGGGGTCAGCTCTTTCTTTAACACTTTGCCGTCACACATCACAGATCGTCAAGAACGCAGAACTTCCGCCCCCGTCACAAAACGCCAATTGGCCATGTTTACCACCCAGTTTCTTTGAATGTCCCCCCAATGGGTTGTGACGGCAAGGGTTTTGACTATATATATGAGCCTTGTGACGGCAAAGTCAGAGCTTTAAGTATCTATCATGTATGTCTATGGGTCTGGGGGGGGGGGGAGAAAAGAACCAATAACAAAAAAACCTTTCACTTTCATTTTACGGAACAAGCAAAAGTCAACATGAAAGGAACCTTGAAAATTAATTACAAGCAGACAAATCGCGACCGACCTCAGTGCTTTCTTATCCTATCTCCATTTTTTAACAGTGAAAATGTGACATCTTCTTAAGCTCCCTCTTGTTTATGAACTGTTTTCATTGTTATTGAACATGGAGATAGGACCAGAAATCTCCGAGGTCGCGAAATACTGGGTTAAAATTCTGTAGTAAATTAACCAAGTAGGCCTACACCATCTCTGGCACACTTTCCTGACGTAGGAAAACTAGAACTTTTAAAAATCAGAAAAACTTAACGCAAGAAAGGTTCTCCAACATTCCCACCCAGAACCCGAGAAAAGAGCTGAAGAATCTCAGCAGAAGAGACAAGGGACACGCTCGCATAAAATCCTCCGTTACTAATAATAGTAACAGTGTCCTGAAACCCTTGACAGTTTCGGTGGGCTAGACCTCAGTAAACAACAATCTGTGTGTGTGCCCAGAGAAAGGTACCAAGAGTCGCCCTAGACAGTTTCCAGCTACAGGCTGATAACGACAAAAATCTTTTTTTTTTACCAAAACGTGTTTCCATTTAAAAATTATAGATCCACCATTTTTTTAAACTGCTCAAAGGGTTTTCATTGATTTGACTTCTAAATATTTTATTTTGAATTATTTTGAGGGTAGGGTTTAATAAAAACAAATAATGAAAACTGCTTTTAAAAGGTGTAAAAATCTATTCTTGAAGCATGTTTTCTGTTCCCCGCTATGTTTTACCATTGAATTCCATTCATGATCGATGTCAACTAAATGCCAAATTGGACATGAATTTTCCATGAATGAACATATTTTTAAAAATTGGGTTTTTTTAAATTTTAAAGTCTGTATGTGTTTTAATGTATGTTAAACTTAAAAGCTCATTTTCTCAAAATCATATTTTTATACCCTACCTCGCAAAATGTGCAATATCTCAAAAACTACTTGGGACATCTGAAAAATTCAAAGCCGCTGGGTTCAGCATTGAATTTCCTATAAGGTACAACCCTGAACTCAGAATGGTCAAAATCCAACTTTTCGTGCCTTTCTTGAGACACACACACACACACACACACACACACACACACACACACACACACACAACACAACACAACAACAGTCCACAAATACAAACATCCCTCCACAATTCTCAATCCAAACCCGGGCTACAATAAACAGACGCGGAAATTTTTTCCAGCAACTTAATTGGGGGGTGGGGTCACGGCAAAGACAAACCAACACAGGTCATCTTCTGAAGGTCACTGTACGTTGAAGGACACAGAACAAAATCACGGTCAATAAAAGGGTCCAGATCAAAACACAGAGAAAGTCCCATTCCTTCCGTCCCGTCCCATGTCACCGACTTCAACTACTGAAGTTTTGGGTCCACGCAAAACATTCATCCTTCTCAACTCCGGGGAGAACAAAAAGTTTGCCCTGAACAGTCTCATGTACCAAACTGAACAGTCTCATGTACCAAACTGAACAGTCTCATGTACCAAACTGAACAGTCTCATGTACCAAACTGAACAGTCTCATGTACCAAACTGAACAGTCTCATGTACCAAACTGAACAGTCTCATGTACCAAACTGAACAGTCTCATGTACCAAACTGAACAGTCTCATGTACCAAACTGAACAGTCTCATGTACCAAACTGAACAGTCTCATGTACCAAACTGGACAGTCTCATGTACCAAACTGGACAGTCTCATGTACCAAACTGGACAGTCTCATGTACCAAACTGAACAGTCTCATGTACCAAACTGGACAGTCTCATGTACCAAACTGAACAGTCTCATGTACCAAACTGAACAGTCTCATGTACCAAACTGAACAGTCTCATGTACCAAACTGGACAGTCTCATGTACCAAACTGGACAGTCTCATGTACCAAACTGGACAGTCTCATGTACCAAACTGGACAGTCTCATGTACCAAACTGGACAGTCTCATGTACCAAACTGAACAGTCTCATGTACCAAACTGAACAGTCTCATGTACCAAACTGAACAGTCTCATGTACCAAACTGAACAGTCTCATGTACCAAACTGGACAGTCTCATGTACCAAACTGAACAGTCTCATGTACCAAACTGGACAGTCTCATGTACCAAACTGAACAGTCTCATGTACCAAACTGGACAGTCTCATGTACCAAACTGGACAGTCTCATGTACCAAACTGGACAGTCTCATGTACCAAACTGAACAGTCTCATGTACCAAACTGGATTTATTTTTATTTAGCCGCGGTCTTTGCACATATATATTCTTTTTTTATACCATTGCTTCCCCCCCCCCCTCCCCATCACAAAATGCTTCAAAGTTCTTCGCAATATCTTAGTATACCCCCTCTCTTATAACTTTAATCCTTCAGTCGTTCCATTTTGGATTAAATGGGTAACCCACACTTACTTTACTTTACTTTTCCGATCCAGTGACCATCTGGGTTCTACACCTTCGGACTGACAGGGGAACCCACACAAATCTGTTATTTCAGCCTCCCTAAGCGTTCCCCGCCCCTCCCCAACCACCATCCCCCCTCCCCTGCCCCTCCCTATAACACACAGTAAGTCTGTCAGAGAAAACACGCAGGCAGAAGACGACAAACGACCCGACAAGCTGTCATGACTTCTTGTTCTTGCTGGCCACAGCAACCTGAGCCTGTTTCTTCGCCTTCACGAGTTCACAAAGTTCCTGGGGGGAGACAACAGAGAGGGTTTAGTTCACACAGTTCCTGGAGGGAGACAACAGAGAGGGTTTAGTTCACACAGTTCCTGGAGGGAGACAACAGAGAGGGTTTAGTTCACACAGTTCCTGGAGGGGAACAACAGAGAGGGTTTAGTTCACACAGTTCCTGGAGGAAAACAACAGAGAGGGTTTAGTTCACACAGTTCCTGGAGGAAAACAACAGAGAGGGTTTAGTTCACAAAGTTCCTGGGGGGAAACAACAGAGAGGGTTTAGTTCACACAGTTCCTGGAGGGAAACAACAGAGAGGGTTTAGTTCACAAAGTTCCTGGAGGGAAACAACAGAGAGGGTTTAGTTCACACAGTTCCTGGAGGAAAACAACAGAGAGGGTTTAGTTCACAAAGTTCCTGGGGGGAAACAACAGAGAGGGTTTAGTTCACACAGTTCCTGGAGGGAAACAACAGAGAGGGTTTAGTTCACAAAGTTCCTGGAGGGAAACAACAGAGAGGGTTTAGTTCACACAGTTCCTGGAGGGAAACAACAGAGAGGGTTTAGTTCACACAGTTCCTGGAGGAAAACAACAGAGAGGGTTTAGTTCACAAAGTTCCTGGGGGGAAACAACAGAGAGGGTTTAGTTCACACAGTTCCTGGAGGGAAACAACAGAGAGGGTTTAGTTCACAAAGTTCCTGGAGGGAAACAACAGAGAGGGTTTAGTTCACACAGTTCCTGGAGGGAAACAACAGAGAGGGTTTAGTTCACACAGCTCCTGGAGGGAAACAACAGAGAGGGTTTAGTTCACACAGTTCCTTACAACAACAGAGAGGGTTTAGTTCACACAGCTCCTTACAACAACAGAGAGGGTTTAGTTCACACAGCTCCTTACAACAACAGAGAGGGTTTAGTTTTAAAAAGCGTTTTATGGAACTTGCAACACTATACGGTCACATAGAAGCGCCGAAGATTAGAGGAAAGACAAGAAAGCAACAAACACGAAAAAGAAGGCGCGGAAATAAGGACGATAGATGTTGGATGGGAAAGAAGGAGCAAACAACACCAGAGCACCCGCCAACCACTCACTAAATCATGAGGGAAATGAAGCCATAACTTCTTGACCCAACATCCAAATCATTGGGGGGAAAGAAAAAAAAGAAAAAAAAAACCCCTTGGGCTGTGTAGCATCCCTGTCCCTCTCAAGCCACACACACACACGTAAATACAGGGTAAGAAAACACAGATAGGTCAACACAGAAGACTCAGAATCACACATCATACCCACCTTGTATCGTTTCATGCAGTCCTTCTTGCTGCGTGAAGGAATCACTGACGCGATCTTGTCCCAGCGGTCGGACTCGCTGGCGGGGAAAGACTTGAGCGCCTGTTCCAGAAGTTTCTGCTCGTCGGCGGTCCAGGGCGCCTGGTTGCTGCCCGTCTCTCGCACCTGCTGCTCGCCCACCGCTGGAGACAAACGACAAACTCTTCTTAGTTTTTGTTTCGAGGTTTGGTTTTTTGTTGTTGTAAGAGTTTGTTTTGGTACTGGTTTTACGGCGCTCGCAACTGCATACGGTCATAGGAGCGCAAAGGGGTGGATGTCAACAGAGAAGTCCTTACAGGGAATCAGACGTACTCTGCTCACCTCTCTAGCCTCAACAGCACAAAGTCTGCTTCGACTATCAAGGCACCCCGGAAATAGCGGGTCACAAGAGAGTGACAAACATACAAAAGAAGTAGAGGAAAATGACGATAGTAAGGATGAGGAAAGAAAAAGCAACAGTTCCCTGTTGTAGATCAGGCACAGTTATGAGCGTGACTTTGATAAATCAGCCCATTTACAATTTCACTGTGCGACAGAACATGTTAATGTCCCCGCTTTGGGAATGGCCTAAAGACACTTAGGTCAGTAGCACCGCCCAGGGGGGTATCGTAAGGAGTTTTACGGCACTTGCAATACAATGAGGTCATGTAAGTGACACACCAGTGAACAAATGTGAGGCAGCGTGGTGGAATCAGGCTCTCGTCAATTTTTGGGCACACCGAGTTATTGGTATCATCTTACAGCTTGTGCACTTGTCTTTATTTGGATGAAAAAAATCTCCATTTATCTTAAATACAAGGCGAGATATTTGAGAATGAAGGAGGTGGGGGTCGCTTGTTTTCAGAGGTAAAATTAGAGAGAAAATGGCCGCCAAAGATTAGTTATTTCCTTAGCTAAAGAGCCCGTGGTAACTGAAAATTTACATCTTTTGTGCCTTTAGTCAACGTTTTTCAGAAAAATAAACACAGAAATGAGTTCTTTAATGAGCATGAAGATGTTGAGCCAAAAAACAAAAAATTGATAAAAATTCACAAACCAGCGGAAAAATGCAAGTTTGTTCTCTTTGATTATTTGGACGAGAGCCTGATTCCACCACGCTGCCTCACAAATAATACTATGCCAGAGACGTAAATTGCCAACAGGAGAGAAAAGTATCAAACTCATCCCCACCCCCCACCCCCACCCCCCAGAGTCAATTGTACTCAAAACAAAACTTTTAGGTTCAGTTTTAGTAACGGTTTCACGGCACCTGCAACATTTATACTATTGGTCGGTCATATTGTAAGTGCCGAAGATCAGGTGGAACTTCTCACTTAAAAGTTAAAGAAACATACACAGAAATGGACAATTTCATTGAAAGTAGCAGAAATTAGGAGGAAAAAAGTGAAAGCAGCATCCCGGCTTACTCTCATGTCTTTCACTGGGTCGCTCCATGTCGCCAGACTTGGCAGCTTTGTGGGACATTTCAAACTTGGAGTACGCGTTCTTCTTGGCCTCTTCCTTCAGCTTCATGTCTGGGGTGGGACAAGTGAGAAAATGGTTACATAATCAGATTAGATCAGATACATCTTTATTGTCCAGATCCTAACACATTGGTTTGGTGTGTCACACACATATACATACATGCACGCACACATACACACACACACACATATACACACACGCATGCACACATACACACACACACATATACACACACGCACGCACACATACACACACACACACACATGCACGCACACATACACACACACACATATACACACACCCACATACACACACACACATATACACACACGCACACACACATACACACACACATATACACACACGCACGCACACATACACACACATACAGACACATATACACACACACACACGTACCCTATTCACAATCATCAGAACCTACGACCAACAGCAAACAGCTATTTTCTCCGACACCACCGGAAATGACAAACTGTTATATTAATAATTATAACAAGAAACAAAATCATTTCAAGAGAACAAAGTTTTGCGCAATAACACTGAGGCAAACGTATCGCCACTGCGCTAGCAGAATGGCACATCTCATTTTGCTACCTTTGAGAAAAAGGGAATAAACTGATTAACTTGACTATTTCTCTATACATTATACTGGTGAAAGTTCGTCACTATGGTCGCCTAAAACTTCCAAACCACGTAACTTTCGAATTTGAAAAAATTAACGGTGGTTGAGAATCATGAAAGGGTGCAGTTATATTAAGGAGTCTGCAGTCACTGCGGTTCATAACAAAGAGCGAGCTTAAGAAAATGTCACATTTTCACTGTTTCAAAAAATGGCACTACGACAAGAAAGCACTGAGGTCGCAACAGTTTGCACATGCCTGAGTTATACATATATAGAACAACTAGCTGGGCCCCCTTTTGATGAAAGGAATGATCAGTGCATTAATATCAACTGAAAGTGATTGGCCTACTATATTTACACTCTACTGGAATGGAGCAAAAATTCTTGAGAGATGAAAAAAAAATTAGAAGGTCTAGAATCTAGATCTAGATCTATACTCTCAAAACAAAATGCGCCTCGCAAAATATCACTTCCGCCCTAGATTTTCTAAAATTACAGAGACAGAAGCGACGGCCTACAAAAGCGATTGACGAAATTTAAAAAATTTAGCTTTTTGCAGCAAAACTAAAAGAACGAAGGGCATCATGCTCTGGAGAATATTTTAAAGAATCTTTCGGCGAAAACTGCATGTCGATCGATGCAGCCATTAAAAAGACTTTTGAACAGCAAAATTCGGCCACCACAAATAGAGAATAGAAGACGTCAGCCAAGAACCTACCGTTCTTCTGCAAGTCTTTGGCCTTAGACAGCACGTCCTTGGCATTCTTATTGCTACTGGCAACGTGCTGGCTGATGAAGTTGGCTATCACTTCCCATCTGGAAAAGAAAGTTTTTAGTTTTAGTTTTAGTAGAGGTTTTACGGCACTCCCAACTGCAGAATGTCATATGAGCGCCATGTAAAAGAAGAAAGAAATGACAGCTGAACAAGCCAAGGAGACATGTTCTTATGTCCATTACCATCAACTTCCATTTACACACCATAAAACATTTTGTTTCACTAAAATAAGCCATCATAAAATGTTCTTTAAAGCAAGGTCATTCATACAGGTGATTGTCGTGGACAGGTGATCATCAGAACAGGCTTCACTGTACTTCCTTTGGGTACACTTTACTTTACTTTACTTTTCCGATCCAACGGCCATTTGGGTTCTAGCCCTTCGGTCTGTCGATATGGCAAAGAATTGACAGGTTTTAATCAGCTGTGCTTTGTCGCTGTCGCTGTATAGAGTGTTTCCGATGTCTGGGGAGGCAGGTAGGTAGGTGCTACGCAGGTCACAAAGTGCTGGGCAGTTAAAGAGGTGAGGTGGTACTGTTTCATCCTGGCAGTCGCACAACGGGCAGTCGGGTGGGGTATCCTTGCGGATCCTATTAAGGTAGGAATTTAGTGGTATGTGTTGTGTTCGCAGGCGAAATATCGTGACATGTTCTCTTCTACTCAGGGAATTTATTGCATCTTTAGAGTTGGGGGCTGTCATGTGTGCAAATACAGTTCTTCCAGTTTTGCACATTGCCCATCCATTCAGCCACTGTTCCCTGGTGTTGCATTTGATGATGTTCTTGGCTGTCTGTTGTGATACTGGGTTGTGTGGTTGTGTTTGTGATGCTCCCTTGGGTACACCAATAAGGTAAAAAACAGAACTCCATAGACAAAAAAAAACCTGTTGGAAAACATATTATGATATAAACCAAAAGCAAAAAAAAACCTCACAGAAAAAAAAAAAGAGGCAAACCAATGACACAGCATGAACAACGGAAAGATGGTTTCAGCGACAGCCTCACAGTAAGCCAGTATGGCTGCCAAGCTAAGCCATACAGCACCGACACCACTCGGAGGTGGCGAATACGGGGTTGGCACATTCAACCTCACACCCCTGTACTAGTAGGAACAAATCTGTTTCATTTCTCCTTTAGTGAATAAAAGAACAAGAGATCATTAAATTTTTGTGATTTTTGAAAGTTATTGTGACAACTTTTCCCATTTAGGAACAACCCAGTTTCATAAAAATTATAAGCCGAAGTACAAAAAGTTTTAAAATTTACGGAAAATTGAGATAGCCAACCCACTATCGGTACTAATACAGAGGGTAATTTGTCATTTACAAAAAAAAGAAGTTTCATTCAGATATCTAGATTCTAGATACAATGTTTCACATCATCGTCTGTCGTGGCAAGCTGGAAAATAATAAACGGGGGGGGGGGGGGGGGGGGGTAATAAAACTGAAAATTAACTTTAAAGGGGGGGGTGGGGGGGGTGACACATATTCGATACCTAAAAGTAGTTTGCCATTTAGTCATTCTGGTGGGCGGCAGGGATCACGCATATAGTGATAGGTACTATTTACTCTTTAATTTTATTTTTATAGTAGAGGGTTTTACGGTGCTCGCAACTGCATACGGTCATATGAGCGCCAAGGGGTTGGTGTCAACAGAGAAAGTTTTACAGGGAATCAGACTTAGACTGCTCACCTCTCTAGCTTCAACAGCACAAAGTCTGCTTCGACTATCAAGGCACCCCAAAATAGCAGGTCACAAGGGAGTGACAAACATACGAAAGAAGTAGAGGATAATGACAATAGTAAGGATCAGGAAAGAAAAAGCAGCAGTTCCCCGTTGTAGATCAGGCACAGTTATGAGCGTGACATGAGTCAGCCCATTTACAATTCTACTATGCTTGAACGAGATATGTCCCCCCTTTGGGAATGGCCTAAAGACACTTCAGTCAGTGGCACTGCCCGGGGGGTTATTATTTACTGCCCCATTATGGAAATACATATACATATAGGTGGACGGAACAAAAAAATTATTCTCCTCTTAAAAGGTGTCAAATGTGGGTGCTGGCTGTACGAATGTGACAAGCCCTGCACTACGCGACCTCTTCTATGTCAGCGAAAACCACACACCTGTCTTGGGTCCCCGCGGGGAACAAGTTGACTCCCTTGATCAGCGTCTGCGTCTCCGCCTCTGACCACGACTTCTTCACACTGGAGTTGTCTCCCCCTGACTTCTGCTGGGTCATCTCCAGATGGAGCTTCTTCTCTTTCTCTATCTCGTCGTTCACCTCTTGGATCTGCGGGAAGGGACATGAGGTGTTCGGTTTAGTTTCAGCAAGAGCAATACAACACCTGGTACATAAATAAGCCTTATTAACTGCCAAAGATTAGAGGTGTCACAAGAGAGTAACAAACACATAAAAGAAGGAGGAGAGATCGGGACAATAGAAGTTGGACAGGAAAGAAGAAGCAAACCAAAGAAGTGCCAAAGATCAGAGCGTTACAAGAGAGTAACAAACACATAAAAGAAAGAGGAGGGATAGTATAATTTTCTTAAAAGTTTTACGGCACTAGCAACACAATAAGGTCATATAAGTGCCGAAGGATAGAGGAGTTACAAGAGAGTAACAAACACATAAAAGAAAGAAAAGAGATAAGGAAGATAGCTGATGTTTCATAGGAGAGATACAGAAAACCACACCACAGCACCCGCCAACCACCCGCGATTAGAAGTGTGGCTAGAGAGTAACGCACAAAGAAAAAAAGTCATAGTTTCAATAAGAGTTTTACATCCCTACTCTTAACACTTTGTCATTATAATTTGGGGAAAATCCAAAGAAACTAATTGGTAAACATTGCCAATTGGCGAGATGAAGCGTCAAAGTGTTAAATGGTCTACATTGTGTTGATGGGTAGCGAAAGTTTCGTTTACGTAAGAGTTTTACGGCACTTGCACCACAATAAGGAAGACCTGAGGTATTACAAGAGAGTAACAAACACAAACTGGGGTCAGCGTGGTACCTTGCTACATGAGTACATCATTACCTTGCTACATGAGTACATCATTACCTTGCTAAGAAAAGCTTCCTTCCCTGTCTCCTTGTCCCCTTTTCCCAGCTGTTCATTCAGAGATTGAAGACTGAAAAACAAAAAGCGAAAAAAGATTCATAATAAATCTGGGTTGTTGTTTTGGGGTTTTTTTGTGGGGGGTTTTTTGGGCGGGGAGGGTTAGTAAGAGTTTATAACACAGCATTTGCGACACAATTAGGACATATAACTATTGTAAGTGCCCAAGTTTAGAGGTGTTAGTGTAGTTACAAGAGAGTAACTAACACAAAAAAGGAGAGATAAGGACCATAGATAATGGCCTAATACATGTAGTGCTTGGAGTGGGGGAGGGGCATGGCAGACAGACAGACAGAGTGACAAACATACAAAAGAAGTAGAGGTAAAATGACAACAATAAGGATGAGGAAAGAAAAAGCAACAGTTCCCCCTATGTTGTTTCGGCACGGTATGAGCATGACGTTGATAAATCAGTCCATTTACAATTCTACTGTGCTTAAGAACATGTTAATATCCCCCCTTTGGGAATGGCCTAAAGACACTTCAGTCAGCGGCACCGCCCGGGGGGGGGGGTGCAATCACTATAAGAAAACACTTTCACTAAAAGGAAGAACCCCCAGCACTAACCTGGTAAGAGAAAGCAACTCCGCCACTCTGTCCATCTCCTGCAGCATGTTCACTCTCTCCTCCTCCGTGCTGGCAAAATACTCAAACTCCTGGCCGTGGGAGATACGTTGACATACATTTCAGTACATTCAGGGGGGAAAAAAACATATATACATATTCTAAACGATATACAGTTAAAGTTGTTCAAGACAGCCAGCTATCGTCAAGGAGTTGATCCGTTATCTTACATTTTTATGTAATATTTATGAGACAACAAGAAACAATTCAATAAATTGACTTACTTTTATGTAACATTTATGAGACAAACAAGAAACAATATGATAAATTGACTTACCTTTATGAGATATTTATGAGACAACAAGAAACAATACGATAAATTGACTCACCTTTATGAGATATTTATGAGACAAACAAGAAACAATATGATAAATTGACTTACCTTTATGAGATATTTATGAGACAACAAGAAACAATTCAATAAATTGACTTACTTTTATGTAACATTTATGAGACAAACAAGAAACAATTCAATAAATTGACTTACCTTTATGAGATATTTATGAGACAACAAGAAACAATACGATAAATTGACTCACCTTTATGAGATATTTATGAGACAAACAAGAAACAATATGATAAATTGACTCACCTTTATGAAGGTTCTCATAGACTTCCTCTCTTTCTTCAGCTGTTTTTTCAACGCATCTTTTTCTTTCTTCAAAATGGCAGCCTGGTACAGAGAAAAGAAAAGAAAACTTGAGCTCTAATTTTCTCAACCACTGTACTCCGACAAAATTCTGGATCACTATGGAGGGCACCTTTTGACTCTTACTAAAATACTAACTTACTTATTTGGAGAATAGACATGACAGCAGGCGGCAAAATGCCATAGCCGCTCCTCCTTCCTCTCTAAGATCCAGGAAAGTGTATGCTTGCTCGCTGATGGTGCCATGCCAATTATCAGCTGGGGGGGGTTTGGATGGCGCACACTGACTCAAAGTAAGACTAGTCATTTGTTCTGTTCCCATCTTCTGTCAGACCTCCTCCTTCCCCTCTTGCCTTCTATCTCTGCTTCCAGAGTATGTTTTTAGAGAGAATCATGGCATTTAATATGCCTTTTATGTCCTCTGTATTTTATATATCTGATACTAGCACAGTGAAATCATTAACGTTTGTTGTGACTAAAGAGTGCATACATTTACAACTTGACTAAATGCCTACGGCTACTTTCATCAACAAACCGTTAACAATAATAGTAATAAATAGCATTTGTATAGCGCATATCCCTGATCTATGCACTATACAAATCCATATTATTACCCCAGCAGACCATAGAACACCCAGAAACATTCTCAGCTTCCCAGGAAGCCTATAGATCAAGCAGCAGATCAAGCGCTCAAACACTAACAAACTGACAAGATCTTTCTCCGTCTAAGGCCGGGTACCCATTTCTTCTTTGGTGAAGTGAGGAATGTTTGTATAAAGTGAGGAATATTTGTATAAAGTGGGGAATATTTGTATAAAGTGAGGAATATTTGTATAAAGTGAGGAATATTTGTATAAAGTGGGGAATATTTGTATAAAGTGGGGAATGTTTGTATAAAGTGGGGAATGTTTGTATAAAGTGGGGAATATTTGTATAAAGTGAGAAATATTTGTATAAAGTGAGGAATATTTGTATAAAGTGAGGAATGTTTGTATAAAGTGGGGAATGTTTGTATAAAGTGAGGAATGTTTGTATAAAGTGAGGAATATTTGTATAAAGTGGGGAATGTTTGTATAAAGTGAGGAATGTTTGTATAAAGTGGGGAATGTTTGTATAAAGTGAGAAATATTTGTATAAAGTGGGGAATATTTGTATAAAGTGAGGAATATTTGTATAAAGTGAGGAATATTTGTATAAAGTGGGGAATATTTGTATAAAGTGAGGAATATTTGTATAAAGTGGGGAATATTTGTATAAAGTGGGGAATGTTTGTATAAAGTGGGGAATATTTGTATAAAGTGGGGAATATTTGTATAAAGTGAGAAATATTTGTATAAAGTGAGGAATATTTGTATAAAGTGAGGAATGTTTGTATAAAGTGGGGAATGTTTGTATAAAGTGAGGAATGTTTGTATAAAGTGGGGAATGTTTGTATAAAGTGAGGAATATTTGTATAAAGTGAGGAATATTTGTATAAAGTGGGGAATGTTTGTATAAAGTGAGGAATGTTTGTATAAAGTGGGGAATGTTTGTATAAAGTGAGAAATATTTGTATAAAGTGGGGAATATTTGTATAAAGTGAGGAATATTTGTATAAAGTGAGGAATATTTGTATAAAGTGGGGAATATTTGTATAAAGTGGGGAATATTTGTATAAAGTGGGGAATATTTGTATAAAGTGAGGAATATTTGTATAAAGTGAGGAATATTTGTATAAAGTGGGTAATATTTGTATAAAGTGGGGAATGTTTATATAAAGAGAGGAATGTTTGTATAAAGTGGGGAATGTTTGTATAAAGTGAGAAATATTTGTATAAAGTGGGGAATGTTTATATAAAGAGAGGAATGTTTGTATAAAGTGTCTTTCACACACCTGGGCCTTTGCCTCCTCCTCTTCTTTTTCTTTCTTTCTCCTCTCCTCATCCAGGATTTCTTGCTTTCTCTGTAAAAGAATAGAGACAAAAACCATTGAAAGTAAAACCCAAAAGCTCATTTTTCAAAGGACCACAGCAAAAGGTTTTTTTTTTTTTAAATCTTTTTTTCAAAGCACTACTTGTCAACACAGCTCCAGCCAGCGTCAGTTTAGAACAAAGCTTGTAAGACGGAGAATGTTCCAAAACATTGTTAAAAAATTGGACCAGTGTATTAAAGTACAGTAGTCTCCGCCTAAGATCCCGGTGCTCGGGAGCAAGGAAAATGCGGGATCTTCAGCGGACCGGGACTAAAAGCAGTGGGATCTTAGACGGAGACCACTGTATATCAAAACCCTCACTCACCCTCTCTTCCTCCTCTACCCTTTGCCTGGCCGCGTCTTGCTTGGCCTTCTTAGCCGCATTCCTCCTCTCCTTCTCCTCCTCCTTAAACTTCAGTATTCTCGGATCACAGGTATAAGCATTATCTGAAACAAAAGCGAAAAAATTTCTAACCGTTCCACAAGGGTGCTTTAGTTTTAGCAAGAGTTTTACAGCACTTGCGACACAATAAAGTCATATAAGTGCCGCAGATTAAAGGTGTTACTAGAGAGCAACAAACATAAAAGAGAAGGAGGGGAGATAAAGACGATAGATGTTTGATAGGAAAGAAGAAGCAGACCACACCAGAGCACCCGCCAACCACCCACTTCACAGGGGTGCAGCATTGAACTCAATTTTGTATTTTGTGTTAGGACAGATTTGTTTGGGGGGTTTTTTGGTAATTGTTTTACGGCGCTCGCATGGGATTGTTATAGGCCACGGGAAACATGGAGTAGATGTGTGGAAAGGGACATGAGAGAGATGAAGCTCACTTGGAACGAGCTTGGAAGGATGGCCCAGGACAGAGATAAACGAAAGGGGCTTGAATGTGGCCTATACCCTTCCAGGGTTGGAAGGCATTGATGATGATGATGATAATAATGATAATGGGCGACAGATGACACACCCACTGATAAGAGAGCCATACTTTCCCAGCAAGGAACCAAAAGTGTAAAGAAAAACCTGGACACACCCAACAGAAAAGACACACAGCTGGACAGACCGACATTCTCCAACACCCACGTGACTGTGAGGAACAACAAAGTGTTTAGTTTTAGTAAGTGTTTTACGGCACTTGCAACACAATAAGGTCATATAATTGCCGCAGATTAAAGGTGTTACTAGAGAGTAACATACACAAAAAAGGAGGAGAGAAAAAGACGATAAATGTATGATAGGAAAGAAGAAGCAGGGCACCCACCAACCACCACCCCCATGCCTGTGAGGAACAAAGGAGCGTGTGAGTGCACCGCAGAGACAAAGGAGACAATCACAGTTCCTCACCAACTAACTGTCGCAGACGTACAACTTCCTCTTTCTTCAGCTTCTGCCGAGCTGCCTTGTTCTGCTTCTCTATCCAGCGCCTCTCATCGCGACTGTGAGGAAGATGACAGAAATGTGATAGGATAACAATTTATTGATCTCCACAAAGACACATTTGCTGTGGCACGGTGAATCCATACAACCACACATTCTCTCACTCTTTCAGTTTTAGTAAGAGTTTTACAGCACTTGCAACACAATAAGGTCAAATAAATGCTGAAGAAAGGATGTGTTACAAGAGAGTAACAAACACAAAAAAGCAGAAGAGATTAGGACAATAGATGTTTGGTAGGACAGAAGGAGCAAACCACACCAGAGCACCCGTCAACAACCCACTCTCTCACTCTTTCCTTCTCCCTTCCCGCTCACAAACACTTACATGCACACACACAAATAGTCATTAAAAATTCTATTATATTAACATAATATTCAAATGAATCAAACCCAGTTTTGGTTAAAAAACTGCGAGGACACCCCCCCTCCGAGTCCAAAGCTCACTCCAGTTGCTCAGCTTTCTACACAACAGCCTTCCTCCCTCTCTCCCTCTCCCTCTCCCTCTCCCTCTCTATCTCTCTTTCTCTCTCTCCTCAACACAAAACAGCTTTCTTCGCAATACAAGAAAAAGATCACCAGTGCTGTCTTTGAGAGCTGAACCTTTTTTTTTCTTCATTCATGGCAAAGTACACAGACTAGTTCATACTCAGCAAAGCAATTTACACACACATGCTCACCGGGGAGAGCACACAACGCATTCATCCTGACTGGACAAAGCACATAAACTAGCTCCTATTCACTGAGAAAAGCACGACACTCATTTCCTACTTACTTCTCTCCTTTCTCCTTCTCTTCTTCGTCAAGGTAGGAGAACTCTCTCCAGGAATCAAACTCATACCTGTTGATGAAACGACAGCATAACACACGTGGTGAAAGGTTATGTCCACACACAACTCAAGGCTAATCTGGATTATTTCAGTAAGAGTTTTAGGGCACTTGCAAACACAATAAGGTCATAGAAGTGCCAGAGATTAGAGGTGTTACAAGAGAGTAACAAACACGAAAAAAAGGAGGAGAGATCGGGACGATAGACGTTTGGTAGGAAAGAAGGAGCAAACCATCCACTGTTGGGAACAAGCATGACCCTTCACTAGACTCTGTAGCATGACAGCTATACTGCACACAAATAGTACTTGCACAAGTCAACAAAAACCAAATGAGCACAAGGGTACCACTGAAGGGAACTCACCAGAAGGAATAGAAGTTGTTCACTTCGTCAAAAGGAGTGTTCTCATCTCCTATCTTGGGCACCCGTTTCTTTGTCGACCACCTGGTAAAAAATGAAAAGACATTAGAAAGTGAAAAGGTTAAGAAGAAAAAATAAAGTAAGTCGGTTTACCGTTTACCATTGTTTTGTTTTTCTTCCGTTTCCTACAAGGGAGGTAAGAGAAAAAACTTTTTTAACTCACTAGAGCCTGAGCAGTTTCCCCAACAAGCATTACAGCCAGACAGTTTTATTAGGGGTAGATTGAATCGTTGAGGGCAAAAAGACTGTAAGCTCATAATGAAAACAATGCAGTAGAAGCTATCATAATGAAAACAATGCAGTAGAAGCTATCATAATGAAAACAATGCAGTAGAAGCTATCATAATGAAAACAATGAAACAAAAGAAAGAAAGAAATGCTTTCACAGAAAAAGAAAACTGAAACTCATTTGTCCAAATAGTTTTTATTTTATCAATATTTTGAAAATGGCAATGTCTTGGGGTGACGCAATTTTTTTTTTAACGCCCAATTTATTATAAAATCATCTATCGCAATGTGGGGGTGACTGACTTAGTCGATTACAGCTTAAAAAGTATCGCCCATAACTTCACCCAATTTTTAACAAAACGAAACAAGTGGGTCAACTGTTGGCTCGCCGTTTCCCATAGCTTGTATCCGAAAAACACCGGAGATAGCGATGGCTAAAGCGTATCTCATAATACACGGAAATATGCTAAAGTGAGTTAATAGTTGGTGGAAGTGACATTCCAAACGACATTTTTCGTCTCTGTCAGACTGTTTCTTTGTGGAGTTGTATAGAGAACTGTGCTTCCAAGAAGGCCACCTCTATTCTCACCCCGGATGAGAAAAGCGCAGGCGAGTCTTTTGGCTATTCTCACCCGGTGTGCGTTCACCGTTATAGCCTAGGCCAACCAGTGAAGCGTTCACCTTGAACCACAGAATTCTACACTGTGATAACAGAATTGTAGAATTCTGTGCTGTGAACAAACGTTCTAGATCTATTACTACTGTTAGTGTTAGCCTAAAAGCGTGCAATTTTGTCTGTGGGCAGTGGAGAGAGAGAAAGAGAGAAAGAGAGGAGTAGCGCGAGAACTTCCGGGCAAAACAAAATGACGACCCGTGTAGTTCGGCTCGGTTCGGAAACTTAAATAGCCGTAGCATCTTTGTAGACGACCAAATTAATTTTGTTTTGTTTTTAACATCATTTTTTAACTTTGTTTTGGTCAATTTGATCGTCCACATCGATAGACAGTATTCAGAAAGAGACAGAGAGAGAGAGAGAGAGAGAGAGAGAGAGAGAGAGAGAGGAGGAGTAGATCTTGCGAGAACTTCCGGGCAAAATAAAATGGCGACCCGCGTACTTCGGCTCGATTCGAAAAGTGAAATAGCCATAGCATCTTTGAAGACGATCAAATTAGCTTACGTTTGTGCTATAACGTCATTTTTTCTTGGCTTTTGTCAATTTGATCATCCACACCGATAGACAGTATTCCAAAATGAGGAAAAACAGATCTTGTTTCACACTGGGTGAGAATAGCCTACGCTGGCAAGTCTCACCCGGGGTGAGAGGTAGATCGTATTTTTATTCTCACCCCTTCCAAGAAAGGCCCCAGGAATAAGTTTTCATAGTTTTACAAAACTATATCAACAATGCTAAACAAAAACTACCAACATTTTATATTTTTACGGTAACCATTCCAGAACTAAGCTACAAATACTCTCAGAATGTAAAAACCAAAGATTTTTACATGCTACACAAAAAAGAGGGAAACAAAAAACAAACACATGCCAGATACAAAAGAACAACTTAATCATAACCAAAGACCAAGGACAAAAAGACTGACCTAGCATTGCGCTCAAAGGCCGGCTGGAAGAGGGTGAAGAAGTTGTCTTTGGTGACTTGACTGGTGCTGGGCACGCTGTCGTCAAACTCGGGGTCCACGCTGTCGAAGGACCGTCGTTTCTGCTTGTTGCCCAGGACTTCGTACGCTGAATGACAAAAGACAGTTTTTTAAGATAAGATCAGATAATACTTTATTTAGCAATATATATATATATATATATATATATATATATATATATATATATATATATATATAAATATGGCTCTTTTCGTCTATGCAGACGGTCAATTTAGCTTAAGGACTAAGCTGAATGCCTGGGCCTGACTGTATGGAGAACGTGCCTTGCCCAATTTGCACTAACCCCCTCTCGACTTAGCCACAGCTTTTTGAAAGACGGGAACTACTAACCTAGAAACAACACAGGTGCAAAGATCAATAATCCAGAACTAAAATGCTTTTTACTTTTTCAAAATCGGTTCAGAAATAAAAAAGTTTGGCTGAGTACATGTCGGAAATTGTGGGCATTTTGGAGAAACTTCCTATAGAGGAATAAAGAAGGACAAACAGCACCAGAATATCGAAAACCCACAACTTTCTCATTTATTATCCAAGAGGGAAATTTTTCTTGGCTGTACAGTAGCGTTGGGTCGGGCTCGCAAAATTAGCGTCCGCGAGTAACGAACTACTCGTTGGCACTACCCGCAATCGAGCGGACGGGTAACGAACCGTCCATTTGTGAAGAGTAGTTCGCTACTCGTTACTCGCTACACATCGGAGAGAGACAACAGTTCGTTTAGCGAACGAGCGGACGGGTGGACCGAGAGACTCCATGCATTCGAGCGGGTGGGCGGGCGGACGGACGGGAGCGACTCCTTCCATTGCATACAACTTGCAACCCCCCCCCCCAAAAAAAATTAATTAAAAAATCACCCTCCTGCCTCACATTGTAGCTAGGCGTTCATGGCGGAAATTCCCCCCCCCCCCCCCCGGCCTATGAGATAATTGGAACGTACACAGTGTGACCCACGCACAAGGTGAAAGGTTACACACAATGTACTACGTCACCAGCCTCTCTCACTACCTGTGGCACCGCTAGTGGTTTGAAACATCAGGCCTAATTAACAAACAATAGACGACGGGTCAAATCTAGCGTCAAGTATCTCGTCTGCTAGAGTTCGTCCGTTCGCCCGCCCGCCCAGTGAATAAAATTGTGGAGCGGACCCAAAAAACGAACTGACTTGAGGCTTGAGGTCCGCAGTCCACTCCCTGAGAGAGTCAAATTGTGGAGCGGACCCAAAAAACTAACTGTCTTGAGGTTCGCAGTTCGCTCTCATGGCCGTCTGTTACCCGTTCGTTCTGAGTCCGCGAGTAACTAACCCGTCCGTCCGCTCGCCCCAACACTACTGTACAGGACCGTAAAAACACTTGCAGGTATACAAAAAAATTTAAATTATATATTACTCTCATCAAATTCAATATGAAAAAAGAAGTAAAGCAGACAAAATGTACATATCACATCAGATGCATCATTCAACCACATGCAGGAAATTAATTACAAGACCTTTGGAGTTATATAGATACATACTCTAAAGAGCAATACACATTGATGCTTATACTGACAATAGCCTTATGCTAGATGGTAAGCTTTAATTTTAGTAAGTGTTTTACACCACTAGCAACACAATAAGGTCATATAAGTGCCGAAGATTAGAGGTGTTACAAGAGAGTTTTTGTTTTTGTAAAGTGTTTTACGGCGCTCGCAACTGCATAAGGTCATATGAGCACGCGGGACACATCTAATATTTTTAATTGGTAGGAAATTTTGAATTTTGCCTGGGGGGTGGCCGAAGCCTACTCTTATCGATTTTAGACCACCAAGGGATCTTTAACGTGCGCAACTTGCACACGAGCCCTCCGAGATTTTTTGTCCTTGTCCGAGAAGGCTAGGTGTAGATCTTTCCTACCAGAAGATCAGGGGTGTGGCTGAAAGACAGCAGTAAGGAGAATCGAAGGAGTTGCAGTAGAAAGGCTGCAGAAAGAATCAGGAGCCCAGAGGAAGGGGCAAAGGAGGTGAGGGGGGGGGGGGGCAGAAAGTGGAGACGAACGCAGACGACAGAACATTGTTAGAGAGCAGGAAATAAGGTGAAAGGAGATAAAATTTAGAGAAGAAAATTTTTCGGTCGCTACCCGGATTCCAAACCGGGACCTTTTGAATGAGAGGCCAACACCTTAACCTCTAGGCCACGAGAGCGCCCTACAAGAGAGTAACAAGCACAAAAAAGAAGGAAGGGAGATAAGGACGATAGAAGAAGAAAACCACAACAGAGCAACCACCAACCACCCACAAAAGAAGTGGAGGAAAATGACAATGGTAAGGATGAGGAAAGAAAAAGCAGCAGTCCCCTGAACACAGGGTGTTGATCCACAAACCTCGGGTTATACAAGTGAAATAATCGTCTTCTCCTTCTTTCACAGATTTTCCTTTCGCTTTCCTCTTGTCTGGATGGTGGGTCAGGACTTTCTGTTTGTCTGGAATAAAACGGGAAAAGTTAAGTTAACACTTTGCGGTCACTTGGCGCAATAATGCGTCGGAGAAAATTATCCGTTCCCGTCACCTGATGCAGGCTCAAGAAGTCGGTTGCAGTCGCTCTCCTGGCTGGGTGACCAGATGGGACATTTTGTACTGCTGGCTGGGTGACCAGATGGGGTGTTTTGTATTGCTGGCTATGTGACTGCAAAGTGTTAATAGGTGAAACATCACCCTGACCACGTGAAGGTTGAAGACGAGTAATTAAAAAGTAGAAAACAGAGTTCTGTTAAAAGGTATAGAAATGGTATAGGTATAATGCCCCTATCAACACTATAAGATTATTTAAGAGGTGGGACCTCCGAGGCTAACAAACACCTATCTCTGAAAGGACCGAACCAAATGGGAAATTCATGTAAAGCGCCTTTCCCGAAGACACAACGTCGGACCGAACTGACACTCGAACCCCCGAACTTTCAATCCCACGATTACAAGTCCGGTAGCCTAACCAACAGGGCACCGACAACAGAGTAGTGCAAAGCAGATAGACAACAGTCAAAGTATCATGGGACATACTTTACCTCCAAGCTTTTTTTCACGTGCGCCAAAATCTGAGATCTAGGCCAATTAGAATAGAGGATATTCAATTCATTTATGTTACATGTTCAGTCACACTTGTTATTCGAGTGTTCACAGGTACCTATGTCAAACGTGATTTTGTGAAAATAGTTTCAAGTCTTTCTTCCGAACTTAGCATGTATTTATTGCGTCAACAACACGAAATCACGTTTGACATAGGTACCTGAGAACACACAAATAACACTCGAATAACAAGAGCGAATCAACATGCATATAACATAAGTCCATTGAATATCCTCTACAGAGCAGGATGAGAAATGACATATATCCAAAGTACATAACTCGGTGACTGCAATACTCACAAGCTCTTTTGATCTGGTCGTCAGAGGCCCTGTGTCGTAGCTTACTCAGTCCCAACACAGCGTAGTGATCTTGTTTCTGAAAAATGAAAAATTATCATTATTGTGACATCATCAGTCATGCCTTAACTCTTTCGTGAAGGGGCTTTATCTCCCCCCCCCCCCCCCTCTCCCCCCAAAAGTTTTTAATTACTAAGACATACAAAAAAATTTGGATCACACCAGTCAATTGCAAGGGGACTATAATTTATCCAAACATAAATCCCAACTATGGAACCCATACTAAACAAACATTGCAGTACCAAAAAAAATAATGAGTCTTAAGACTACAACACCAATACACTTTTAAAAAATACATGTCCCCTGCCACAGTACACAAATCCCTTCACTTTCACTGTTTCTTTAACGCGACAACAGTTCCTTAGTAGACAAACCTGTTCTTGTTTTTTTAATGATCTCAGCCTTTGATTGCCGTAAAGGCCAACATAGTGAAGTGAAAGATCCAACTGATCCAATGACATATTTATGCACTTTGCTGCTGATGAATTCCTCAACTTTTCCTACACCTGATTCTTGTCCTGGACTTCTGCCTTGCTTTTTCTCAATCACAGGACTCTATATAAACCTGTTATACACTAAATCAAAAAGTTATTAATTTTTTCATTTTTCAAAATCCAAACAAAACTGCCATTATCTGTGGACTCATTTCAGAAGCACAGGCAGATAAAACCATGGGTCTCAACTCAGAATTCTAAAAAAGGAGGAACTTTCCGCGTGATCGCCACAGAAGACCATTTTCGCAAGACACCCATTATTATCATAACTGTTTAGACCCTAGAAGGCTAGAAGGCTGAAATAAAATCCATCAATTTATCAAAGCAAGGTTATTTCATACCAGTTTGAGCGTTACAAATTCATCAACTGTACCTTCCATTCCTTTGGGTTCAGTCTTAACAGAAGAGATTCGTTCTCTTCATCAAACTGATCCTCCTCTTCCTCCTCCTCGGAAGACTCGCTTGAGCTGCTGTCCACAGAATGATGCGACTGTGAGTGATGGGTGTGCGCCCGGCGATGGTGGGCCTCGAACCATCGTCCAACTGGCTCAAACTCAAAGCTGACCAATGCTGGAACATTTCAAGCAAAATTAGGATGAGACCACAGCAGCAATAATAGTACCGGCTTTCACAGCTTAATAAAAGGAGCACCTAAAAAATATCCATTTTTTTTCTTTCCTGAAAGTTTACAAACCAATCGTCATTAGATCAGATTTACTAAGCAAATACAAGGTAAGGAATAAAATTTACAATAACTGACCTTTGTACAAAAATTATTTAAACATCTGTTACATAATTTCTTCCTCTTTACTTAATTTGAAAGCCTAAAACCAACTACCAGAAAAATGTGGACATAAAGTGAGACCAACATTCTGCTATTTTTCCTCCCTACAAGCTTTCCTTTTCTGGAAGTAGACATAATCAGGTCAAAGGGAGCATACTGATATTATGTTCAAGTAATCCTCAGAATAGGGGAGAAAGAATTTTATATCACGATCAGCGTTCATTTGAATTTCTCAAATAATTCTTTTTCATGCCTTGTCTTGTTTGATCAAAGGGTCATGAATCAGTTTAGGTAAAAGTCTAATTGAGTTCTCCATTGGGAACCTTCTTCCTACTTTGCACATTGTATTGTTACTTGTATTATAATACCCAGGGTCTCTTCTCTTTGTAAGGCCAACATCGAGGCCGCCATCATGTCATGCACGAAAAACGTTTTCATGAATGGAGACCTCAACTACACCTTTTCCCCGATTTGGTGTCAGTTAACAAAGTACAAAAGCGTTTATAAAATTGTTGACCCGGTCAAAATTTTCCACACAAATTTAGAAAAGTAGTAGTGACATCAAAATGGAACAACAGTGGCAAAATCTGAAGTACGTAATTCATTTTTCTAACTGGGTTCTATTAACTCATTTCCAAGGATTGACTCTATTCAAAGACCGGGAGGAGTTCCGCAGAGGGTCGGCACATACCGTGACAAGGTCCCCTGAGCAAGCTATACAAGAGTTAGGTTAGGGTTAGAGTAAAGTAAGGGTTAGGGCTAAGGTTAGGGTAAGGGTGATAAATGGCTAGGATAAGGGTTAGGGTAAGGGTGTGTTGTTGGTTCGCCGGCCCTCTGTGGAACTCCTTCCCAAAGACCTCGGGAGGAATATATTGTAACAAGTGACCTACATGAAGAGAAGGAGGGTTAGGGTTAGCCCAGATAGGGTGGGGGTAGGGATAAGCCGTAAGGGTGGTAGGGTTTGGGCTTGGGGTAGGGGTATGGGTAGGGTTTAGGTTTAGGTTAGGGGTAGGGTTAAGTCTTTTATTTGGTGTTTGAGTTTGTTGGGGCTGGGGTGGTCGCTCGTTACGGCAGTCCTTCTTCTAACTGGGTTCTCGCATCCTCATTTCCACGGCTTGGATTCCTTTCAAAGGGAAGTGGCTATCCTCACCCGGGGGGAGAATAAAAATACGATCGACTTCTCACCCCGGGTGAGACTTGCCACCGTTGGCTATTCTCACCTGGTGTGAAACAAGACCTGTTTTTCCTAATTTCGGAATACTTTCTATCAGTGTGGATGATCAAATGGATAAAAGCAAAGAAAAAATTACGTTATAGCACAAAAGTAAGCTAATTTGATCGTCTACAAAGATGCTTTGGCTATTTCACTTTTCGAATCGAGCAGAACTACGCAGGTCGCCATTTTGTTTTGCCCGGAAGTTCTCGCAAGATCTACTACTCCCCTCTTCTCTCTCTGTCTCTTTCTCAACTTTCTGAACACTGTCTATCGATGTGGACGATCAAATTGACCAAAACAAAGTTTAAAAAAGATGTTAAAACACAAGAGTAAATTAATTTGGTCGTCTACAAAGATGCTACGGCTATTTAACTTTTCGAATCAAGCCGAACTACGCGGGTCGCCATTTTGTTTTCGAAGTGTATACAGACCCGGTAACCGGGAACAAAGTAACGAAGTATACAGACCCGGTAGGGGAACTCTTTTGTGATTTCGGAAAGTTTCAGCGCCCAGACCCGGAAGTGTTCGTGTGTGTGTGTAAGAGAGAGTAAAGAGAGAGAGAGAGAGAGGAGGGGGAAGTGCTAGCAAAACGTATGACATGCCCCAGTTGGCAGGAGGGAACGAGAGAAAGATAGAGTGGGAAATAGACTACGACATTGTTCTTTTCTTCAAATTGTGATTCCTCCAACTAACTCCAAAACCGAGGAAAAACGATCGTTCATCTAAAAGACATCCGCAGTCTTCATTTAGATTTAGATCTAGATCTAGATCTAGATCTAGGCTAGCCTCGAAACTAGATCAATGATTTATATCTGCCTGTCTGTCTAGATCTAGACCTATGCCATAGATCTAGCAGACCCTAGTTCTACCCTGACTGAGCCAAGAGGGCGCTGAAACTTTCCGAAATCACAAAAGAGTTCCCCTATCGGGTCTGTATACTTAGTAACTTTGTGACTTTATTCCCGGTTACCGGGTCTGTATACACTCCCTTTTGTTTTTGCCCAGAAGTTCCCGCGCTACTCCTCTCTCTCTCTCTCTTTCTCTCTCTCTCTCCACACTGCCCACAGACAAAATTGTACCCTTTTAGGCTAACAGTAGTTGAGTAGTAATGGAACGTTTGTTCACGGCACAGAATTCTACAATTTTTCTGTTTTCACAGTGAAGAATTCTGTGGTTCAGGGTGAACGCAAAATTGGTTGGCCTAGATCCAGGCTATAACGGTGAACGCACACACACTGGGAGAGAATAGCCAAACGACTCGCCTGCGCTATTATTCTCACCCCGAGGTGGCCTTTTGGCTTTTGGCTTTTCAAAGACCTCTGCTCTTGCTCTATTCCCCATGCTGAGAGCACAACACAAAGGCAATTGATATTGAATCACCGAAGTCCAAGTGCAGTTTAGTCTATAGATCTAGAATCTAGATATATAATCTAATATCTCTAATCTAGATCTAGATCTAGATCTAGATTCTTTAGAATCTAGACTTAGAGCAAAGCCAAAAATCACTCACGGCATAGCTTCCCACACACGGTGGTAACCGCTTCCTCCTCTGGGATCATTGCACAGCACGCCACAGGTTGATGTGATAGGAACTGACTATTTTCACACTGAAGAGTGTATATATTCCAAATGTTCTCCTTCACCAGTGGATGACAAGAACTTTTGGTAACTAATATTATAAAGCTAATGTTACAAGTGGAAGGTCCCCATTTTCACTTGACAATCCCTCTGCCTCAATGCCTCAATCAATCGTTTAGCAAAGCATTTTCTTTCAGCATGGGTGCAGTATATCTTACCTGCTACATTGATTTCAAAAGGGCTCCCTTATTTATTGCTCAATGTTTTCAATGTCGCACAAAGTGGGACAAAAATCAAACCTAATTGATTTTTTATGCTCCTAATAACGTTGTGTTTTGCTAATAGTACGTAGTATACTGTAAATTGATTGTTGTTTATAATTATGTGTACATTATTATACTTTAAAACAATACACACTCCTTGTTTGGCGCGATCAAATCCACCACTAAAACCAATGTTGCTCTTCACTAGAATAAGTTATCCAAAGAGAGGAAACCACTCGAAAGACTTTGCCTTGCCACGAGGCATGCTAAGTTATCTGATAATTTGGAGTTTTGGGAGATGGGGTAAAAAGGGCGAGAGAACGTTCACGAGATAAATCTAAATTGTTAGCAAATTATGACAGTGAGTGGAACGAAAGAGAGAGGCCTTGGGGAGGGGGTGGGAGTGACTAGCTTTCTCACTGCATCATGAACGAATCAATAATAATGTTGTTGGGTTTTTTTAATTAATCTCTCTCTCTCTCTCTCTCTCTCTCTCTCTCTCTCTCTCTCTCTCTCTCT